GAACGAAATTCTCTCAAGATCTTTGAATGATGAAATATCATTTAAAGTGAGTTAATAATTTTCATATTATACAAAATATAACTTAAAACCGTCAACATCAGATAATTATAGTAAATATTCATTATTTAACAATATTATCACAATGTCACAGTAGCCTGTAGGTATACGCTTTCAATTTTATACAGTGAAAATTATAGCAAAGTAGCAACGTTACTTGAGATTCCATTTTCTAAATTAGTGGGTGGTTATTCAATGCCAATAAAATCCAAACATTTCGGAATACAAACAAATTCAAATATACCTCGATAATAATTAACAAATATGAATGTCAGACAAGGTTAATTTTAAATTTTTTTATAAATGTTATTTTATTTTTACAATTTTGTCTGGCCACATTTAATTTTAAAAACCATCATGATGAAACTATAAAATATGTTGGATGCATAAAATAATATGACCATACAGACGTCCTGGATTTATGTCTGTATATATAATAATATATATATATGAGAACTTTTAACATTCCTTAAAGTTATTTTTAAAGTGTTCACTAAACACTTCTATTATAGCTTCAAATAAAATTAAAATATCTTACAAATTAAAATTTGTATGACACAAAAATAAAACTAATATACAAAAATAACCAAATTGTGATAATATTTAACTCGCTTTCCTCTTATTACCTTATTATCTTCATATCTACTTATATATTATGTGTAAAAAGAATATCTATGAAATTTGATAAAACGTAAGACAACACGGTATAGGTACATCTGTTGTAGGGACGCTAGCAGAACATTGGTTTGTTACCTGGGTTGGTGCACATATTAATCTTAACCTTATCCACTTAATAATATAACACTAACCAGGACGGAATGGTTTAGAAAATAATTATTTGTATCTCAGCATAAAATCTCGCACTATCTATACGAAACTTCTGAGTTACGACAATAATTTAGTGTAACCATTCGATGAGCTTTGATTTAATTTTTATAATATAGTACCTTACTCTACCCTGCAATAGTGAAACGATTCGTAATACTATGTTTTATGACGCACCATTATGGCATTATGTAGGTATATAGTATCGTCGGAATGTCCAGCCTATCGATATATATATTACCTATCCCAAACTGCTAACTCCCATAAATGCGTCACAATACAATTTCGAACGATGATTTAACGATAAGTATTATATACGTAATAATATAAGTATGGATATTATATTATTATTATTTATATAGACGTCGGACGCGAGATCGCCACTCTTCCAGCAAATAATATATAATTAAAAATGATATATATATACATGTATAAATACGATTAATAATATTATGTATATAATTAATCGTTGTATATATATATATATATGTTATAATTGATAATTATCTATATATTAAAACTATACATTATATGTTATTATCAGGGATGGGCAAGATACTCAAAAATCAGTATCGAGATAGTAGATACTAGATACCTGGATTTGGAGTATCGAGATACTAGATACTCGATACTTGGCTCTAGAGTATCGCGATACTAGATACTCGATACTTGGCTTTGGACTATCGCGATACAAGATACTCGATACTCGATACTCAATACATTTTAATAAAATTAGTCACTGGATTTTTAAAAATTATGTTTATTATTGTGGGTATGGCCACTTCATTAAGAGGACGCCTCACCCGCATGTGTTGTCACCGTCTTACACACATACGACATAGCAAATGTTCGTTGGCTAGTTTCAATATGATATTGTCAGTTTTTATATAAGAGTGAATTGACCTATTATCAAACTTTTAGGTAACAACATTATCTGTGTTCTCTCGTTGGTTTTTTACGATATTTTAATTTTTAAGTGAATTATGGGTATGTAAAGTATTCATATTCTAAAATGTTCATAACTCACTTAAAAATTAAAATATCGTAAAAAACCAACGAGAGAACACAGATAATGTTGTTACCTAAAAGTTTGATAGTAGGTTGATTCACTCTAATATCAAAACTGACAATACCCTATTGAAACTAGCAAACGAAAATTTGCCATGTCGTACGTGTGTAAGACTGAGACAACACATCCGGGTGAGACGTCCTCTTAAGTAATTAGAATGAAAAATAAAATAAAAAACATTGACACTTTCAGTAATAATAATACATTAGTCACTTTTCAAAAGTGGTTTCTGACTAGTAAAAATAATCGTTAACAATTAATTTTTCAAAGTATCGCGTTAATGTATCGAGTATCTTTCGATTAAATTAATTCATGAAATACTCGATACATTGACTAAAAATGTATCGTGATACAAGATACTCGATACTTCACATAATTGTATCGAGATACAAGATACAAGATACAAATGTATCTAAGATACGTATCTTAGATACTTGTATCGAAGATACTGCCCAACCCTGGTTATTATGATATAAACGTTGTGAGTAGTGGTGGCGTGGTGGTGGCGTAGGTATACATGATATTCATATTAAACCGCCGTTTCGGGTGCTGTCGCTGTGCAGGTTCAAATCGAACCGCACAGTGGTGTAGAGGCATCTACGACAAGCAACGCCGCCGCACGGATATTATTATTATTATTATTATCACCGCGGTCCGCCAATGTGTTTGTCGACGTCGGTGTTGATATTCGTCAGTGTCCGTCCGCTCGTCCGGCGCTGGTCCGTCTGGTCACAATTCGTTTTCGTCAAGTTGTTTTCCATGTGCGAGTCGTTGTCGGCGTCGTAATTTGTACGTGCAAGTCGTGTGTGAACGATATAACAAATCGCTTACGACAATAAAAACTCGCCACCCGACATAACGGCCGACCGTCCACGTCCGAGTCTACTGCAGTGCCTATAACATAATAACATAATATTATAAGTGAGTTTTTAAAATTACAAAATGTATAACCCGTGACGTCTTCACTCCTCCGATAGTCGAGAGAGTTGTCAGGGTTTTTTTTGGTCACGGTTAACAATATTTTTTAGGTATCGCTATAGTAGACGAGAAATAATAGTATTTTGTATTTTGTACCACATATTTTCCGTATGTTTTTTTTTTTATAATTTTTCCATTTATCACGCTTCGATTTATATGACATATCGTATAGGTGTAGGAAATTTTTGGTTTCTTACAACTGATTGAATCCCCCCATCCACTTTTGTAGAATACAACTTATATTAAGACTTATATACGAGAACTTTTGAAGATCACACGATCTACCTAAATAAAAGACTATTATTATTTATACGTCTTGGATTAAATATTATTATTTCATCATGCGCCATTGCATCAATACTATAATTTCAATGTTCACCTATAACACATTATGATGTGATCTAAGTAAAATATACCGGATCCCTTTACCTCAATAGTTGAATAATGAATAGGATTGCCGATTGGATGCATAATATAAATAAATAGGCAATATTTATTGAGACGATCACTACTTTTTCGTTTGAAAAAAAAACTTATAATTAAGAATAAACTATAAAAATAATAATAACATTTATAAATGACAAACTTATCTTTTAAATTTTTAAAGACATGAGTAAATATACAGAAAATAATATTTTATAATTTAATCTTTTGAATATTTTTACAATAAATGAAACTTAATAATAGTACCTAGTTTATTTAACACTCAAATTTATTGGAAAACACTTAGTTAAAAAAACTCTTTATTATAATTTATGAGTAGGTAAGTTAAAATTGATTATGAACTTGGTAATTTTAACCTAATTCAATTTTTTTTAATGTATAAAATATGTTAGTAGTTACGTTTGAAACTAACTTAAACCATTTATTGCTATGGAGAAAATCAAAAATTAAAAAATAGAACATTTATCTATTTTGACTGGGCTGACATATCATTTTACTGTATGTATGTAGAGTCTAAATGAAATCTGTAGGATAACGATTAATAAACGTGTATAGATTGTCAAACCAAAAGTCGCCTGTCTGTCGTAAAAACGAACGTGTTATCATTAGTATTGAATTATTAATGAAAATTCAACTGTTTATACCTTATACGTTATATTCTATTCTATAGTTATTTAAATTAATTTTTGTAACCTAAGTCATAAAATAAACTGCTGCGCGACTGGTGGACGCGCGCGCAGCTGTAGAATTTTAAAATCACATTTTATTTTATCGTTTTTCACCAGTAAGTCGATGGTTAATAATAATAATAATATTAATTAGTAATTACACCGCGTGACACTATACGCGACGTTGACACTTAAACCGTCGTCGTTCGTTTTGGCGCCACGTCCTAAATATATAAATCTATATTATAATATTTTCCCAGTGTCGCGCGTGCCCCTGTCCCAACCCCGTCAGCAACACATATTATATATAGGTACCTACCTATATATATACGTACTCACGTGCCGGATATGTAAATCGCGGAGCAGCAGTGTACAATATGTACATAAATCATAACGATAATATATTTATATTTTATACATATATATGATATAATAGCAACAGGTATAGTGTAAACGCACTTATAATATTATTGTGATGAATTGGCCGGAGAGACTATATAGCACGTATTGCATAATACATATATTATATACACAGAAGGTTGGATAGACGCAGCAGTCTGTTTTGAAGCTATAACCGGAAGGAAACCACTGTCCGGTAGAAATTAAAATAATAATAATAATATAATGTGTGTGTGTATAAAGCACGGCACGTTGAGGACGGCTATTATATAGTAGTTACACACAATGCAGATAACGGCTACTTCAGGGGGGAAAAAGCCAAACGGTAAATAATAAATATATGTACAGGTACCCGGTACGCGCCTGCAGAGTGTACACTGCACTCACTATAATAATAAGACTTACATTGTCGTCCTGCGTCTTGTAGTATAATATCGAACTTTGTCTTATATGTATATTATTATTTTTATATTTGTATATTGTGATAGAGAGTGATGTATCGGAATAATTATGTAAATATTTGAATTTCAAAAAACCATCTGTATTGTTTGATCGCAGGCATGAAATCCGACTGTTTGGACATCGTTATCGTCTCGAGCGGCGACAGCGAAGCCGCTATGATGTGGATTAATTTCCTCATCCAGTGTTTTCAACATTTCAATCAAAAGGAAAACAAATCACAATACAGGTAAATAACATGCAGTGTATATAATAAAGTGTATCTATCTACTATACCTACGCATTATATAATATATTTATTTATTAATACATTAATACTCTCCGAGAAAAAAGTGGTATGAAGTTAGTGAATACTGAATAGTATGGACCTATTGCATATTCGAATATTGTTCAAAATTATTGTTCCATGCTTTATTAATGTGTGAGCTGATGACCCGATATATTGTTTAAGTACTATTAAATCGTTAACGATTAACAATAATTATGTTTGGAAAAAACACGATACACTTTTTATGTGCCTACATATATAATATAATATAATATATACTTCACATTATATGCTATCTAAAAAAAGAAATTAACGACATATTATGATGGCATGTTGTATGATAATATATTAATCTTATAGACATATTTAGTATATATCTTCATTACAATTTATTAAAGGTTTTTAAGGTTAGGTATATCACGTATATGGTATATACTACTTTAGTGTCACTTCAACGTCTTAGAAGTTAGAACCATAGAGTGGTATATTAGCACGAATTATATTTATTATTTTTTACCTTGTACGCGTATAATACATTTCTTAAATCGAATAATTATTTATTGCAATTTGTAAGTAAAGTGATTTTTCTAAAGTTTTTATTATTTTTTTTTTTTTTGGTACAGAAGTTTACAATAATGAACAAAATAAATATTAATTACATATAAATAAATACAATGGTTTTTTTAAAATTAATTTTTGAATATTATAAACTATTTAAAATTAACCTTGAGGTTATCAGACATTCCTAGCTTCCATATGGTTTTGAGTTTTGACAGTAGACAATGATTTTTTCTTTAATTATGTAAATCAGTTAAACGTCAGATAAACGATTGATAGTTTAATTTTATTGTTAAGTACTTTACTTAATTTCGCTATCTGGCTGTGACCATGGGAGGGCCAAGTCATAATTTTCAGACAGCGATTTAGATGATTTTTGTTTGTAATTTTGTTTTTAACAGTATAAAATTGCTTAGAAATACAGCTTTGAGGGCGACCCCTAGGTTCCAACCCCTGGAGCCGCTCATGGCTGTGACTGTCTGAATAGTAATACATTTTATTCAAAATATATATTATACACTCATAAAGTCATAAATATAGTAGGTATTACTGTCATCCCAATTTCTGATCACTCGAGTTTTTATGATAATTTTAAAGCTTCGTTCATATTTAAAATCACTATATACACTATATAGAGCTTCAACTTACCTTAGTTTATGTCCTGGTAGTTGGGAAATCTATGAACATATAGAGTATTTTGCGCCGAAACGTTTCTAAAAATGAATGTTATAACTTTGCATGGGTGGCTGAAAAAATATACTGCAGATGTTTATTGTAAGAGTACCTATTTCTAGAACCATTATAATGACTAATACATGCTCATATTTTAAGTAGGTATTTTAAAAGTTTTAATTCTTGGAATTAAGCTTATGCTTTTATAAACTCTATAATATGTATTACTGTTGCATATTTTTGGAATATGTCCAATGGACAAAGTATAATAACGGTCGTTCAACAGGTAGTTTTCTCTCAGCTTAAATTTAATTATTACTCATCATATTATTTAACGAAAGTATAGTTCTGCATCGTATTTAGATGTGTTCAATTATTTATTGATGAACAAACCTACCTATACCTATGGTCATATTTTCAAATATGTTTATTGTATATTTTCTTAGTACCTAGGTAAAAAAACTGAATTATTTTAACTGTTTAAAACAATTCATATATTTTTAAGCACGTTTGTCTAACGAATTTTAAATTAAAATTAATTTCACTAAGATTGTGATATTTCAAGACCAATTTAACACACCATAACCACCATAATTTAAAATATTGAAGTAATATCATCTTTTATAATCTTGTTAACTTATAAGTTACAACATATAAGTTAACTTAATCTACCACAAAAAATCAACCCCTTCTTTTTTATAAAAATATTTAATACATATTGTTATTTAGTAAAATTATTTTTTTTCTTCTACATCATCACAATAATGACTTAAATTCTCGTTGCGAGCCTTCTTTAATTATAATCATAATTTACTTATTCCAGAATTCAAAGAGTAAGATTAGAAGATGTGTTGTCCGATGTAATGTCAGCACCTCGCCAGGAACGGTGTAGTCAAGCTCGGCTTCAGATTGTACTGGTTTGTCCGATATTTTTAGACCGGGTGCTCGCACATTCTGGTCGTTCCGATTGTCTAAGCGCATTGCTACAAACCAATCGCATGTTGGCTTTATTGGTTGGCGTTGCAGAATCCGACGTAACTGATCAACATAAGACTGGTGAGTGTTGCTCCACGTACTTCCGCGTTATTCATTAACAATTATTATAACATTAACCTATACCATAGTATAGCAGTATAGGTAGGTAGAGGTTTGTTATCAAATATTTACTGTATTTTTTGTATTATGTATCTGCAGTATTGGGTAAGTTACTTTACTCATTACTCAAATAAAATTGTAATGAAATTACTTTACTTTTCAAATAACTCATTACTTTCTCGTTACAAAAACAAAAATTTTTTTTTAATTTTTAGGCAATTATCTTCTGCAGACAAATTGAACAAGCAAATTCTTTATAAAACCTGTATAGTTAATAGAATCATATAAAATTTAGTCTTCCACACAAGCTATATTCAGAGGAAACCTATTGAAAGGAATCAAATTAAATAATAAATTTAATTAACTGTTCTCTTGATTTACGGTGCAATTAGACATTTAAAATGTCAAAACCACTGAAAACTGAATTGTGTTAAAATTAAATATATATATTATATACATATTAGATTGGTAAATATAATAATACCCGCATTATACATATATTTTTTGTCAATTCGCAGTAGTTAGGTAGATACTTTATAATTCGAAACTGTAACGAATTATTCTATAGAAATTACTTTTCAAAAGTAATTTCCATTACATTTTTGTTACTTGGAAATAATTCTAATGAAATTACGTAACACGTTACAAGCAAAGTAACGCACTAATGCGTTACTTTCGTTTCGTTAATACCCAACACTGTGTAACACACTGTGTGTGTCACCTACGTCCTACCTATATATTATTAACATGAGAATATAATGAAAATAACTTTTTTTGGTAATCACAGTACTGGTAGACTACGATAAGTGGAGAAAAATGGCCGTCAAGGATCAAGATCGAGAATCTGTTGGTGACTTTTACGGAGTGTCTATGGATATTCTCAGCAAATCGATGCATGTCCAACAGGCGATTAGTGTACCCGAAGAGGATACGAAATTCTCCATTACTCCCAAAAAGATAAAAATCGTGAGTATAAACCCACCTGTTAGGTACCATACATATAATATAAGACTATAGGAATTTGTCTATTGTATAAAAAGCATATTTCGTGTCTAATCAAGAACTGTAACAGGGCCAAAACAAACTCATCGTTTTATTATCAGAACCGTTGGTATCGGAGGACAATGTAGTAATCACCGTGGATAAAAACGGACACAAAATCGAAGTGACAAACGTGACGAGAAGAAATCCGTATACGCTACAATTTAAAATGCCACGTTAGTACAATATATTATTATTAAAAATATATTATATTAATTATGGCGATACAATTGTTAAAAACCAATAATCTTATAACATTATTGTTCATTACAGTGAGTTGTTTACAAGTATCTGTCTTGGTAAACGTTATCGTCGAGAAAAATGGCCAGGTGCTAGGCCAACGTTCGGTGAAGTGCGAGAGCCGCATGAGAGAATTAGATCAATTGATCCGTTCGTTGGACAATCCCTTGAATTTTTTGTGTCAAGTAAGGATAATTATTTTTATACAAAAATATAATATGATAGGTTCCGAACGAAATAAATAATGTATATTTTTCTCTAGACGTTTGGCTTGAATCCCGTCGATAGAGAGCAATTAGATTTGTTTTTAGTCACGGCTTATGTGAAGAACGTTCCGCCCAATTTTCATCTCCTTCAACCAGCTGGATCTCGATTTCAGTACTGTAAGTTGATAATCGCATGATATAATATATAGTAGGCATAAGGCAGAGCATTTCTTTTTTTTGAGCTTTAAACAAAATATGTTTGATTGCTGTCGAACCAAAATACTTTAGTTTTTGACAAACCGAGATTTTAGTAAATATATTATGCTATAGTAATGTATAAATTATTTACAAATTATAAGAGTCCATCCATAATAAATTACATAAAAAACATTATATAAACGCACAATATAGAAAATATTATTTGAAAACAATTATGTGTACATACTGCGGTTTTATATTGTTTGTATATTTCACGACACCTATATGGCTATATTATTATTAGTAGTATTTTTATTGTACTAAGTACTTACATACATTTGTCGAATGTTCGAAAACGTTTGGTACTTCGTATAATATTTTGTTTGAATTATCCACTGCCGGATAAATGCATTAATCCCATCCTCCCCACAACTCAAAATAAAATATTAAAGTTTTTCCCTATCAGAATAACAATTAAACAATGTGAATAATCAATACTATCAAAATTATCCCTGATTTTATATATTGAATCATTCAGGACCGGATAAAAACTAGTAAGGCCCTTAAAATTCGAGTATAAATATTAGGGCTGGCTTCAGATTTTAATCATATATAGGTACCTAGTTTGCTCTAGGATCCGTACATATAAATCGGGGACTGCACGTTGTCGTAAACCATAATAACATCCTAGTATAGTGCCTAGCCGCCTGTGCCTAGATGTACCTAAGTACCTTAATTTTTTTTAAATTTCGATTGTGTGGTCGCAGGTCACGAGGAATACCCAACCATGTTGCACTTTGCCGCCAAACACGGGCTGGAGAAACTGTCGTGGCACTTGCTGGAGAGTCCGGGTGGCGAACAGGCGTGCCAACTGCGGAACTCGTCGCAGTTGACGCCCGCGGACGTGGCCGAGGCGTCCAACCACCAGAAGCTCGCCCAAGCACTGCGGGCGTACGTGCAGATGACCGAGCTGACCAGCATGTACAGCATACTCAAAGGCATATCGGACGGACACCACCAACAGCCGACCGGCGACGACCCGGACGCCAACTACATGCTGCCGCGGCCGCTCAATGACAGCTATCTGGTGCCGCCCGCGCCCAGGCCGGTGCAGGCCGAACAACCGGCGGCCGGCGTCCACCCGCAGCAGAACCACTGTTACACGAACGTGGGCTCGCCGCTCACATCCAACGCGACCATGTTCAATTACCAGATACCACCGCCGCCGCAGTCCATTTTCGCCAACAACTACCAGGTGCCCACCAACGGACGGCCGTACAGTCCGGCGAGCGGTGCGTGGTCTCCCACGCATCCGGCGGTGCCTTCCTCGCCCGTCGACCCGACTCCGTCACCGTTGGGTTACTTGGAAATGAGTTCCTCCAGTGAGTATCCACTTCCCCATTGGATATGAATTTATATGGTCCCATGGAAACCTATCGTAATACCGGAGCAAATTCTATAGCGGTAAACGTTAGAAACGTTTGATAACAGAGAAATTCAGACTGTCTTCTTGGTAAACAAAGAAGTAAACGTTTGCAAACATTGTGAACGCTATGACCCAGCGGTTTGTCTGTTCAGTTCCAATAACCAATATCTACTTATACTGTGGTATAATAACATCAAACATTTTATATTTAAATAAGTAATTATAACATTTTAAGTTTCTATCACAATTATATTATAACATATAATCTGTGTTATCACAGACTTATATCACGGAGTGGTATAATTATAGTAATGACTTATACAACGGTTAATTCACATACGCATTGTAACCTTTTCAATGTTTCAAACGTTGGCGGCTGTATCCTGCCAAACGTTTTCCGCTATAGTATTTGCTCCTGATGATTTTTATCGGCTTATAACCACGATATATTTTCAATTTTGTTTTTGTTTCATCAGAGATGTGGTGAGAAACGTACATTTTGGATTTTCATCACATCTCGTACCATATTTAAAACTGGCCCCCAAAAAATATAAATGTCCACTTCTTATGTTCAGAATATCATCGTAAAAATATGTGTTCCAAAAAAATTAATTCAAACGTCATAAACACCCGGACCCTATTGCCCTAAAATAGTGACTATGTAGGCCACGTAGTTATAGTTTAGAATCAAAACTTTAGATAGTCAAATTGAGTTTAATAGCTGTAGTCAAAAATCCCTGCCACTAGTGCCCACTACTACATTTAAACTTTTTCAATCAACTCCCTTGTGAATATACAATTTTAATTAGCTTCTATTTCGTGTCTCATTGAAGGTCTGGGATCTGCCAATTATTTGCGAGCAAATCTATCGTTCAACGATAGTATCATTAACAAATCATCTGGAAACAGACCTAACGATTTCTTGATTCCTAGCTCTCGTGGTATGCATATTTTTTTTTTTAATTTTAAAACTTTTTATTAATTTTTTTTTTTTTGAGTGTAGGCAGTAATCAAATGTTGTCTACGCCTCAAGATGAGCTATTGGAAATCATACACGATTTCAAAAATAACGTTCTTACCATTAACGAGGTGGAAAATCTAGTCGAAACGTGGAAAAACCGAAATGACGTGCAACAGTCTTTCAAAGAGAAACAAGTAAGCAAGTGGTGCGGAACACTAATTTGTGACAATCGTGTAAATATATTTTTAATAATATTTAGGAACAACTGAATCAAATGAGAGTCGAATATGATCGAATCCAACAACGCATGAAAGATCAATTAAAACGACCTACTCCGTTCGATCGCATCAAAAAATTCTTTGGCAAAAACAAGTCGAAACGTAAGAATTTTTAACGCATTATGTTTAGTACTGTATCTTTTTAATAGTATACTCATTGAAATGTGTATTATTGTTTAAACCATTAAAATAACTATTGAGAGTTGTAATGTTCAAAGTCGTCGAATTAAACGTTAAAAATGTTTAATTACAGATACTGAAATTTCACACGAAAACTTGACAAAAAGAATTGGTTCAGAACATCATTCTAAAAGACCATCCAGTAGTCTTAGTCTACAAAGCTCGAGCAGTAAGTTATTTAATAACGTTAATTTCAATAATGTAAGTAAAGAAAAATATCTAAAACTAATTGTTATGCGTCCTATCATAACAGGTTCTACTTCTTGTGGTCGGTCAAGTACTGTAAGTACAAGCAGCGTGAACGACAACCATACACAACAGGAAAACTTGGACGACGGAAAGGTAATGTACAAAAAATATCAAATACAATATTATCAACAGGTGAATCGCGTATAGCTGTGATTTTATTTTTCTAAATTTTCTGTTGTGATGTTTATTTACATTAATTTCACATGTTTACATATTTATTTAAGGGTATTATCTTACCCTCAAAAAGTGTTGTTACAAATTACTAGTTTCAACATTGCTAAACAGTTTTAGACTTTTATTAAAGCAGAATACTTAAGGTTACATGATACATTTATGGATTATAGATACATGTATTGTATATTTATACTTAAAAATCCAATATCGACATCCAGTTCACTGAAAATTTATTTGCATTAGATGTTTTTATCTGTCGTCACTTCGTCGTACATAGTATAAAATGAATAGTAGGTACACAATGATAATAGTTTGTTTTTAAATTAGGTTGAGCATGGGAAAATGTATATTTCTATCTCTGTTCACTATACCCACAATAGGTACTATATTGTCAGCATTAAAAATAATCGGTAATATTACATACACAAAAAAAAATTGATAAACGTATTATACATATCTACCACTCACCAGCCACTATCGGTGTAATATTTTGCATTTTCGTAATTGAAACGCGCTTATTACTAACGAGTATCACTAAATGCGTACTTTTTCTCTATTATAGCCTCTGAAGTCGTCTTTCTCGTACTTCGATCAGCCGCACTCGTTCTCGACGTTCCTACAACAGCAGGGCAGCAAAACGACTGCAGCCGACTTCGCGGGCCACGATTACGGCAACGTCGTGTACTCGCCCGTGGGCTCCGCGACCGCCGAGACCATCATGGAAGAAGAAATCGAAATGCCATCCTGCAACGCTTCCCGGGCCCTCGGCGCGTCGGCCATCCGGTGCATGACTGGGATCGCGTGCACAATCGCCACTTCGCCCACGGCGGCCGACAAGTCCGAACACGACGAGGCAGCTGCCGGATTCGAGCAGACGTCTTTCGGCGGCGGTGGCTCCGTCGGCGGCAGCTCCGTCGGGGGTGCGGATTTCGAAGACGTCGAAGACAAGGTGCAGAGGTTGTTCGACAACATGCCGGAATACACAAACGTTACGGTTTCCGACCGCAACTCCCGGAAATACACCCCTTTGCAGACGTGAAAGGCATAAGACCTCGTGTTTGCCACCGGATTTATTTCCAATCTTTCCACATATAAAATCTAATATATTATTTATACTATATCGTTGGCGCGTATAACTATATAATACAATATGTGTATAATATATTATTATTATTATTATTATTACATTTTAGTTGTATATATTATTTTCTAGCCACTCGAAGTCTGTCTAAAATAATATAACATAATATTATATAATAGGCTAATTTATATATACAATATAATATATAAGTAGGTACGTTTAAATAAGTTTTTACGATACGTTTTATACGTAACGGACTGGATAGTGATAATATATATATATTATTATTAAATATTTTTATACTGGTGATTACTATAAGGTTGATAAAATATAAATTCTAAATTGAAAAGTGTTAAGCGTCATAAACCGAGCGTGAACCTTGCAAGATTTTGTACGCTTTGAAGTTCAAAAAAAAGAAATATGTGTACTTTTGAACTTTGAACGTTGTAATTCGTTTTATTTATGAACCTATAATATTATTGTTGTTTATGTTATGATTTTTGTTTATATTTTTACTTCTTGAAATAAACTTTTTTAAATAAATATAAATATATATAATATCTTGTTTTAAATTGTGAGCGGAGTGTAGAATATGTATTGATTTTACAATGATTTTTGTCTATATAAGGTCACGATTCATAGCAGAAAATACTTTGATTTTCAACTTCAATATACTTTCTGGTAGGAAAGTAAATCTAGGCAGCACTTTTGGGAGGTCAAATTAAAAAGTCCAAATAATTTTCATAATATAATATGGAAAACGGTAATTTTTACCCCAAAACAAGTTTTTGACAAAATCGATTTTCTTATTTCAAAAACGAATAACCCTAGATACTTACAATTTCCACCAAATTGTTATAACAGCATTGACTGTTTATGAACTATGTATATAGACATTTGAAATTTTCTATCTTATTAACTTCATTTTTTAGTTCTTGTAATAACATCTAGTGAGAAATATTGTATTAAATTTACAAATCTTAAGTATCAATATTAAAAAGTAGTTACATTTTCAGTTACAAAAAAATTTACAAAATGTTGTCAAAATTCTAACTTTAAACGTTTATAAAAAATATTATGACTATGTATTTTCGATATTTTTTAATTGGTAAATGACCAGTTAATGAGAAACTGATTGTATTACATTTTCAAGATCTAAGACCAAGCAAAAAAACTGTTTCCAACGTTCATAGGAAATATTCAATTCATCAAAACAAATTAGGATTAAATTTAAGTGTTGTAGTCTTATGTGTGTATTAGTGGGGGAGAGGGTGATGCTAGTAGAATTTCGGGATGACCCCGTCTGAAGAAAAAATTTAGAAAAAATTTAGATTTTCCGTGCGTAGGTACACAGAAATACATATGCAGACTCCGTAAACGTGAAACAACCGTCCCCATTATAAAGTTAATATTATTATAATATACTCATATACGATCAGTCATTATATTATGATTCAAATGAAGTACATAATAAATTGCAGGGGACTCTAAATAGCGGCCAGCTGACAAATTGTATCTGGCACACAGACATGAAAAAAAAAGTTATATTATATAGATGTACTATATGTAAAGTTCTAGTGTTGTAATTGATCATTTTTTGTTCATTGGTTTTTATCAGCGTCAGCAAATAATATTGATGGCACTAATTTGTAATGTACGGATACCGTCAAACGAGAATAAATTCGTCTCTAGCCTGTTCGTACTATAAAAAAAAACATAATAATAAAAAGGTGCTCTGCTGTACAGTAGGTTACAAGTGGTTCACTGTATAATGGATGGTATTCAATTTGAATTCAATGATATAATATCATTGTATAAGAAAAATGATTCTGAGCGGAGACGGTATGTCAGTCTAGGTATCAGACATATTATATACTTATCTATCGTATTAAAAAAAAACTTTTTGGCGTAACAGATAAAACTTTATTGATATTTATAGAAAAAAAAAACTAAAAAAATTTAAAACTGTAAATGTCCGTAAACGGCTCAAAAAGAGTCAAAATATTTTGAAAATTTCATCTAGTAAAAGAATTGATAAAATAAACTTTCAGTGAAATTTTCATGTATCTACAGTTATTCGTTTTTGAATTACAACAAAATAAGGAAATCGCTACACATGATAAATCGAGTGAATATCCAATGTTGTTTAAATTTGAATTTCAAACGCTCATAAAAATTTAATTTGACTTTCTTATAGATATTTTTTTTTTGATAAAGGTAGATAATCTTATAAGGAATCTTTTATTCAATTTTAAAATCTTAGGTTTAAAAAGAACATTTTTTACGTATTCTTAACTCAAAATAATTTGCTAATTTTCATGATTTTTCCATATTTTGTCAATTTTTGAACTTTAAATGCTTATAAAAAAACTGTGACTAAGGATTTTTAATATTTTTCATCTGCCTTTGAAACAATATACTAGGAGCCTCATTAAAAAAAAACTAATACAATTTGAATCTGAAAATTCCCTAAACAGTTCAAAAGAAATCAAAATATTTTGAAAATGTTATCGTGTACAGAAAAGGCAAATATAAACAACCAGTCAAAATTTCATGTTCCTACAGTCATTTGTTTTAATGTTACACCAAAAACCAAATTAGATTTTGTCAAAAACCGATTTTGCGTAAAAATTCCCGTTTTTCCTTAATTTTTATGTTGTTTTTCCCGGCGCTTGTGAAAACTATTGGGAATTTTAAATTTTGACCTCCTCAATGCACCAACGATATTCACTTTCCAATCGAACAAGATACTGAAGTTGAAAATCGAAGCATTATTTCGACTACTTATCGTGTATTCGTGTACACAGACAAAAAAATAAAAAAATTTAAAATTTAAAAAAAAATATAAAAACACACATCATTGTAAAATCAATACATTCATCGTTTCACTCAGAATCTAAAATATTATATTATAATTGAATGTGTACATTTTTCTTGAACACTAATTACTTTTTATTTTTATGATTATTATATAATTTATATTATGTCGTATTTTAATGTTGAACAATAAGTCTAACACGGAAGATACCTGACAAATAGAACCGCGACAGTGGTATAGCTAAATTGCCTATCCATAACGCCGTGTAATCACAACGATAATATTCAAATACATGAAGAAAAAAACTAACGGCATTACGGAAGAAAATAAAAGTATTACGATATTTTTAAACAACAATTTGATTTACAAATATATTTTTTTTATTGCGGAAGCCCACGCATAGTAAATTATATAACTAATTTTTTTTTTAAAAAACGTCAAATTTACAAGTGTACGAAAATGTAGATAATAATATTGAATATTCATACAAAAATTATTAAGTTTCTATTATAGGTATATCTAAGAAAGTATAATGTATACCATTCAATTAAGTTAATGTCAAATGTTTTATTTATGATGGATTAATTACAATAATTATTGTATTAGGCTGTTGAATTCAATACTCATGACATTGGTTCTTATATTAATTCTACCTTGACCGATGCTGATAGATATTTGGTAAGTATTTTTTCAGTCATTAATTAATGTTTAAATTAGTACATGCGTAGTTTTAGTTTATTATTACAACTAATACAACCAAAATGTATTCAGATTCTTAAAAATGTGTGGATACCACCAGCTATATTTATCTTTCCAATACTTGATTTTAATGCTAAAAGAGGATTAAAATTTCAACACCATTGGCTGAATACTTATAACTGGCTGGCATATTCAGAAAAATACCAAGGTGATTTTTGCAAATATTGTATTGCTTTTTCAATAATTGGTGGTGTTGGTGGTCAGAAACTAGGAACTCTTGTACTGGAGGCTTTTACTAACTACAAAAAAAGCTACAGAAGTATGTATATTTATAAAAAAATTTATTAAAAATGTTATTTATGATTTTTTAATAATTAGATAGGTATTTAAGAAACATGGAAATTTGGAATACCATAAAACTGCATTACTTAAATCTGATAACTTTTTAAATGTTTATTTAAATCAATTATAAACCGCATTGACAGTGAAAGGTACCTACATAAAATTAATAAGTATACTTTTAAGTTTTATTTGAATGTCAGTCTATAAGTAGAAGATAATATTTAAGCTACATTTTTCAATTTCAAATTAGAACAAAACAGATTGAAGACAATCGAAAGCGTTTAATTCCAATCATAGATTGCATTATGTTATGTGGCCAACAGGAAATAGCTTTAAGAGGACATCGGGATTATGGTCCTATTTGTTTCAGTAGTATGTATATCTTATTATTTATAGTTTACAATTTGCAAGGCTTAGGTAAATAATATAAAATAATAACACAAATAAATAATAATATATGGTAGTTTATACTTAAAAGATAGTATTGTATACTTGAATTGATTGTTTAGGTGAATCAAATGAAAATGAAGGGAACTTTCGTGCAATTTTGAAATAAAATTTTGTATAAAGCTAAAGATATAGAATATATGAAAACATATTTAGAAACTTATTCTAAAAACAAATATATCAGCAATCGTACTCAAAATGAGATAATAGAAACATGTGGAGATATTATTTAAAAAAACCTCTATAAACCTCTCACGATAATTTGTTCCAACTGCGGCCTTGAAGATAATATCAAAATGTCATGAATAACACACAAAAAGTGTAAAATATTCAATTAGGATTAAGTCAAAAAGCCCAAAAAGGTGACACAAATGTAATATTATCAGTTATATATTATTTGACTTAACAAACAAATTAACTTTAAGATTCTGGGCGGCTAAGCCTTTTTAGTATACATCGAGTCACAGAGTAATACAAATCGTAATACCAGAATATTAGGTACCTACCTATACTATGTCAATAATAATGATAATAATAATAATAGTCTTTAGAAAAATTAACGGGCTCGAAAAGGTAATGCTGTGAGCCGATGAACGATGAACGTACTATCTGGCTATATATAACAATTTATAGATACAAGTCGTCGCCTGGG